GGGGCTGAGTGGGTCTTGAAAATAATTGTCCAGGAGAAAATACCTAGGGACATATTGAGACAAATGAGTACTCATTACAATAAAAGTATCTTATCCATGAATGAAATATCTGAAGGTTTAAAGTCAGTAGTTCATCAATTACGAACACATGACAAATTAAAACCACCAAGTAAACCCTCAGAAACTAATAATAGTAAACCACAGAGTACCAAAGGTACTCCAAATCAATCTAGACAATATAATTCAACACCAAAGTGGAACAGTGGCAGTGTGGGCGTATATGCAGTTGGACCCTCCAAGCCTATAGTTACTGTGTCACCCAAGAACGTGACACCAAAGGGTACTGGAAGCTATGGAACGTGTTTGTTCTGCAATGAGAAACATTCAATGTACCACTGCTCTAATTTTCCTGATAGTGACGCCCGTGTTGAGCGACTCAAAGATTTGCAACATTGCACGAGGTGCCTCAGGAAACATAACATCAACGACTGTGATACCCAATTACACACCTGTAATAGGTGTAACAAAGGTCAGCACCATGCAGCATTGTGCAGAGACACCAAAACAACGTCTCCAAACCCCAAGGTGGAAGATAGCATTCCCACCACAGTACAGTACTGCAAGGTGCAACCAACAAAGAGTGTCCAATCGGCAAAGTCTAAAGGTAATACGACTTTGCCTACTGCCCAAATTACCATCCTGAATAAGAGGGCCAAGGTCTATACCCGTGGGTTGTTTGACCAAGGATCCCAGAGAACATATATCACTAAAAAGTTGGCAGATGAATTACAATTAAGGCCTGTAGCCCAGATGTCATTCAACATCTCAGGGTTTGTAACAGATGCAGGACCTCAAGTCTACCAGGTGGTACAACCATCAGTACGCTTAGGCAGGTACGTCTGTCGAGTACAAGCCATTGTGGTGGACAAAATACCAGTAGACCTACAAGTTCAAGGTCTGAGAGCAACAGCCAAATTCCTGAGAAATAGAGGAATAAAATTGGCAGATAATATAAAGTCTGATCACCTCACCGACTTCGGTCTCCTTGTAGGGACAGACTATTGCCATCGATTCATCGGTAGCCCTACTAAATATCAGGGTATAACCATGTTAAACTCTGCAGGAGGTAAATTACTCTCAGGCCCAGTATCAAGCCTGAGGAGACCTATGCCTGCAGATAAACAATACCAGTAGAAATCTAAATTTGTCAGCTGATTATATTTCTCCAGTAGCATTATACTAAGGAGATTACAGCTGACTATAGTAACAGAGGTTGATGTTAGTATCATCATTTGAAGCTGAAGATGAGTTCATGAGGCCTCAGTGGCAAATCAGTGAACAGTAGCCTAAACCAGCTACAAGTCACTGCGACCAATGTCACTGAACCCACTGCAGTCTCAGAACCATACTTTACTTTAATGATGAGCTATTCAATCTTCTGAATCAATTAACTAAATTAAACCCCAATAAATCTGATGACTGATTTGATACATTTATTATTTAATCAAGATGTATTCCATGGGCCTCAGTGTTTATATATCAGTGACCAGTTACCTGAACAAACTTCAAGTTATATCTATGTCACTGATCTCACTGCAGTCCCTGAATCATACTTGACTGTAGTACTTGATCACATCCAGTCTTCTGGGTTAAATAATATGTAATAAGGCTTGAATATTAGCCTTTCAAGAGTTGACAGGGAAATGAAATCGCATTAGACTTCTAACCCTTGCAACTCTAGTACGGGACATCCGTCCTGTACGAACAGACGCACAAATGTGTGATTACTAACTACTAACATCAAATTAATCTAATAATTCGAAGGAGGAGTATCGGTGTTCGTCTGTTCTAATTAGGACTTCGACCCGTGAGCAGCCCCTGGGGAATTATGTCGGAAAATCCGACACCATTTAATAATATACAGACAGATAATAAGTGCTGCTGTATTACCAACAAGTTACCCATAGAAAACGTAACTTGTAGTGGAATTACCATCTAAAGAAAACGGGATATCATCACCACATACTATTATAATTCACCAGCTATTCTGCTGGGAATTATTCTTAAATACATTAGTCTTTGGACTTTACCATCATAAAAACATCTTATATAAATTAACTTAATTATCAATATTAAAGTAGAGTAAATGTGACCCTTCTATCACGTTCTGAAATCTGGACAATGTAAGCCAGGCGTCAGAGTGGAGGAAGGAGGGCAGCCATTGTTGTTTTTATTGAGACCAGAGGCTCACACGGGAGCAAATTCGGCTCCTGTTAAATTTACTTGGACGTAGTGTTATGGAACCCAAAGGTGTACCATTGTCAACACGCTGTCTACAAATTCAAGTTAAGTGTCTATCCGAAACCCGTTTATCATTCATTTATGGCCATTAATGTCAGGATATAGGGTTAGCCGGTTAGAACGCGAAATCGCCTCATACTAAAGGTAATTAAGCCAGGTCTTTAATGTTCCATGTACTGTATAGTGTTTTCTCTGATATAGCTTGTCATATATAGGATTCTGGCTTCACAGCTAGCGCACTTTTGACAGGTCAAGACGAGGATGCAAGATTATGTGCACCAGTTACTGGGTGATAGAAGCTACCTCAAAGAGGATAATTTGGTGTCTACACTCTAGTTATACCTGGTGGACTAACCTGCTGTACTATAAGAGAAGGAACCTCATCAATGTATGTAGCTATTACTGTAATTTGATTGGCTGCATATGTTTAATATAAACCCCCCCTAATGTGTAGAGGATCGATTTGTGAGATTAAGAGATTATTGCAGAAATACAGTCCACTTATCATTATACAAATTGCTATCGAAGTATACAAATTAACGTAAATATAAATTCATATAAATTAAACAAATATAAATCTCACAGGTCGGTTCCCACACCACCCACATTATGGGGTATGGTGTCCACCACCACCCACATCATGGGGTATGGTGTCCACCACCACCCACATTATGGGGTATGGTGTCCACCACCACCCACATTATGGGGTATGGTGTCCACTACCACCCACATTATGGGGTATGGTGTCCACCACCACCCACATTATGGGGTATGGTGTCCACCACCACCCACATTATGGGGTATGGTGTCCACCACCACCCACATTATGGGGTATGGTGTCCACCACCACCCACATTATGGGGTATTGTGTCCACCACCACCACCCACATTATGGGGTATGGTGTCCACCACCACCCACATTATGGGGTATGGTGTCCACTACCACCCACATTATGGGGTATGGTGTCCACCACCACCCACATTATGGGGTATGGTGTCCACTACCACCCACATTATGGGGTATGGTGTCCACCACCACCCACATTATGGGGTATTGTGTCCACCACCACCACCCACATTATGGGGTATGGTGTCCACCACCACCCACATTATGGGGTATGGTGTCCACTACCACCCACATTATGGGGTATGGTGTCCACCACCACCCACATAATGCTGTATGGTGTCCACCACCACCCACATCATGGTGTATGGTGTCCACCACCACCCACATATGGGTATGGTGTCCACCACCACCCACATCATGCTGTATGGTGTCCACCACCACCCACATCATGGGTATGGTGTCCACCACCACCCACATCATGCTGTATGGTGTCCACCCCCACCCACATCATGGGTATGGTGTCCACCACCACCCACATCATGGGTATGGTGTCCACCACCACCCACATTATGGGGTATGGTGTCCACCACCACCCACATAATGCTGTATGGTGTCCACCACCACCCACATCATGGGTATGGTGTCCACTACCACCCACATTATGGGGTATGGTGTCCACTACCACCCACATCATGGGTATGGTGTCCACTACCACCCACATCATGGGTATGGTGTCCACTACCACCCACATCATGGGTATGGTGTCCACCACCACCCACATCATGGGTATGGTGTCCACCACCACCCACATCATGGGTATGGTGTCCACCACCACCCACATTATGGGGTATGGTGTCCACTACCACCCACATCATGGGTATGGTGTCCACCACCACCCACATTATGGGGTATGGTGTCCACCACCACCCACATCATGGGTATGGTGTCCACCACCACCCACATCATGGGTATGGTGTCCACCACCACCCACATCATGGGTATGGTGTCCACCACCACCCACATTATGGGGTATGGTGTCTAACCCCCCCCCCCATCGCAGGACCAGTACGGCTTGCATAATAAACGAACTCAAGTCTTCAGAGGGTTCCAACAATATTTATCACCGTCGCCATCCAAGCTTTTATCGCTTCTCTTTAAGTCTTTTAAAGAAATATAAACCCATTAAACAGGCACTCTCGTATAGACCTGGTACTCAGGCCTCGGTCATCATGTACTCACAGATGTACTCCCTATTATCCTGGGTTACCTTGGATTATTAGTGATAAGTTAAGGATAGGATCAGGTGGATTAATTGAATAGGTTAGGATAAGATCAGTTAGCCTAATTGGTAGATTTTGATCGATTAAATTGTGATAATTGATAGCTTAGGATAGGTTAAGTTTGGTAAATTTATGGATTATGATAGGATACGTTAGGTTCATTGATTGATTAGGATAGGATAAATTGGGTTTATTGTTAGATTAGGACAGGGAAAATTTGAATTAATTAATAGATTGAAATATGATAAGTTGGGTTAATTGGAAGAGTAAGATAAAGTAAGTTGCTTTAATTGATAGATTAGGATAGGTTAATTTGGGCTAAATTATTGAGTAGCATAGTATAAGTTAACTGATAGATTAGGAAACGATAAGTTGGATTAACTGATAGACTATGATACGTTAAGTTGGGTTAATTGATAAATTAGGATAGAATAAATTGGGTTAATTGATAGATTATGATGCAATAAGTTGGGGCACCTATAAGGTTGTTAATAAGTTGGGGCACCTATAAGGTTGTTATGTTGGGTTATAAGGCTGTTATGATATAATTACAGTTATAAATAAGGTTATAGTTACGACCCTCGGTTAAGACAGTATCAGTATCAGATAATAAGGCAGTATCAGTTAATAAGGCAGTATCAATATCAGTTAATAAGACAGTATCAGTATCAGTTAATAACACAGTATCAGTATCAGTTAATAAGGCAGTATCAGTATCGGTTAATAAGGCAGTATCAGTATCAGATAATAATACAGTATCAGTATCGGTTAATAAGACAGTATCAGTATCAGATAATAAGACAGTATCAGTATCGGTTAATAAGGCAGTATCAGTATCAGATAATAAGACAGTATCAGTATCAGTTAATAAGACAGTATCAGTATCAGTTAATAAGGCAGTATCAGTATCGGTTAATAAGGCAGTATCAGTATCAGTTAATAAGGCAGTATCAGTATCAGTTAATAAGGCAGTATCAGTATCAGTTAATAAGGCAGTATCAGTATCAGTTAATAAGGCAGTATCAGTATCAGTTAATAAGGCAGTATCAGTATCAGTTAATAAGGCAGTATCAGTATCAGTTAATAAGGCAGTATCAGTATCAGTTAATAAGGCAGTATCAGTTAATAAGGCAGTATCAGTATCAGTTAATAAGGCAGTATCAGTATCAGTTAATAAGGCAGTATCAGTATCAGTACATTATTGATGTTTTGCAGACCAGGAGCGTTGTTGTGGTGCAGTATGGTTAGCAACGCTGCAGAAAGGCTATTAACGTTGCAGGTTGTTAACGTTGCAGGAAGGCTACTAACGTTGCAGGAAGGCTACTAACGTTGCAGGAAGGCTACTAACGTTGCAGGAAGGCTACTAACGTTGCAGGAAGGCTACTAACGTTGCAAAAAGGCTACTAACGTTGCAGGAAGGCTACTAACGCTGCAGGAAGGCTACTAACGCTGCAGGAAGGCTACTAACGCTGCATGAAGGCTACTAACGCTGCAGGAAGGTTACTAACGTTGCAGGAAGGCTACTAACGCTGCAGGAAGGTTACTAACGTTGCAGGAAGGCTACTAACGCTGCAGGAAGGCTACTAACGCTGCAGGAAGGTTACTAACGCTGCAGGAAGGCTACTAACGCTGCAGGAAGGTTACTAACGCTGCAGGAAGGCTACTAACGCTGCAGGAAGGTTACTAACGTTGCAGGAAGGCTACTAACGCTGCAGGAAGGCTACTAACGCTGCAGGAAGGTTACTAACGCTGCAGGAAGGCTACTAACGCTGCAGGAAGGTTACTAACGCTGCAGGAAGGCTACTAACGCTGCAGGAAGGTTACTAACGTGGCAGGAAGGCTACTAACGCTGCAGGAAGGCTACTAACGCTGCAGGAAGGTTACTAACGTTGCAGGAAGGCTACTAACGCTGCAGGAAGGTTACTAACGTTGCAGGAAGGCTACTAACGCTGCAGGAAGGTTACTAACGCTGCAGGAAGGTTACTAACGCTGCAGGAAGGTTACTAACGCTGCAGGAAGGTTACTAACGCTGCAAGAAGGTTACTAACGTTGCAGGAAGGCTACTAACGCTGCAGGAAGGCTACTAACGCTGCAGGAAGGTTACTAACGCTGCAGGAAGGCTACTAACGCTGCAGGAAGGTTACTAACGTTGCAGGAAGGCTACTAACGCTGCAGGAAGGTTACTAACAATGCAGGAAGGTTACGAACGTTGCAGGAAGGTTACAAACGCTGCAGGAAGGTTACTAACGCTGAAGGAAAGCTACTAACGCTGCAGGAAGGTTACTAACGTTGCAGGAAGGCTACTAACGCTGCAGGAAGGTTACTAACGCTGCAGGAAGGTTACTAACGTTGCAGGAAGGCTACTAACGCTGCAGGAAGGCTACTAACGCTGCAGGAAGGTTACTAACGTTGCAGGAAGGCTACTAACGCTGCAGGAAGGTTACTAACGTTGCAGGAAGGTTACTAACGTTGCAGGAAGGTTACTAACGCTGCAGGAAGGTTACTAACGTTGCAGGAAGGCTACTAACGTTGCAGGAAGGTTACTAACGTTGCAGGAAGGTTACTAACGTTGCAGGAAGGTTACTAACGTTGAAGGAAGGCTACTAACGTTGCAGGAAGGTTACTAACGTTGCAGGAAGGTTACTAACGTTGCAGGAAGGCTACTAACGCTGCAGGAAGGCTACTAACGCTGCAGGAAGGTTACTACCGTTGCAGGAAGGCTACTAACGCTGCAGGAAGGTTACTAACGCTGCAGGAAGGCTACTAACGTTGCAGGAAGGCTACTAACGCTGCAGGAAGGCTACTAACATTGCAGGAAGGCTACTAACGTTGCAGAAAGGCTACTAACGTTGCAGGAAGGCTACTAACGTTGCAGGAAGGCTACTAACGCTGCAGGAAGGCTACTAACGCTGCAGGAAGGCTACTAACGCTGCAGGAAGGCTACTAACGCTGCAGGAAGGCTACTAACGCTGCAGGAAGGCTACTAACGCTGCAGGAAGGCTACTAACGCTGATGGAAGGTTACTAACGCTGCAGGAAGGTTACTAACGCTGCAAGAAGGTTACTAACGTTTCAGGAAGGTTACTAACGCTGCAGGAAGGTTACTAACGTTGCAGGAAGGTTACGAACGTTGCAGGAAGGTTACTAACGTTGCAGGAAGGTTACTAACGCTGCAGGAAGGTTACTAACGCTGCAGGAAGGCTACTAACGCTGCAGGAAGGTTACTAACGTTGCAGGAAGGCTACTAACGCTGCAGGAAGGTTACTAATGTTGCAGGAAGGCTACTAACGTTGCAGGAAGGTTACTAACGCTACAGGAAGGTTACTAACGTTGCAGGAAAGTTACTAACGTTGCAGGAAGGCTACTAACGCTGCAGGAAGGTTACTAACGTTGCAGGAAGGCTACTAACGTTGCAGGAAGGTTACTAACGTTGCAGGAAGGCTACTAACGCTGCAGGAAGGTTACTAACGCTGCAGGAAGGCTACTAACGCTGCAGGAAGGTTACTAACGTTGCAGGAAGGCTACTAACGTTGCAGGAAGGTTACTAACGCTGCAGGAAGGTTACTAACAATGCAGGAAGGTTACTAACGTTGCAGGAAGGCTACTAACGCTACAGGAAGGCTACTAACGCTGCAGGAAGGCTACTAACGTTGCAGGAAGGCTACTAACATTGCAGGAAGGCTACTAACGCTGCAGGAAGGCTACTAACGTTGCAGGAAGGCTACTAACGTTGCAGGAAGGCTACTAACGCTGCAGGAAGGCTACTAACGCTGCAGGAAGGCTACTAACGTTGCAGGAAGGCTACTAACATTGCAGGAAGGTTACTAACGTTGCAGGAAGGTTACTAACGTTGCAGGAAGGCTACTAACGCTGCAGGAAGGCTACTAACGCTGCAGGAAGGCTACTAACGCGGCAGGAAGGTTACTAACGTTGCAGGAAGGCTACTAACGCTGCAGGAAGGCTACTAACGCTGCAGGAAGGCTACTAACGCTGCAGGAAGGTTACTAACGTTGCAGGAAGGCTACTAACGCTGCAGGAAGGCTACTAACGCTGCAGGAAGGCTACTAACGCTGCAGGAAGGCTACTAACGTTGCAGGAAGGCTACTAACATTGCAGGAAGGTTACTAACGTTGCAGGAAGGCTACTAACGTTGCAGGAAGGTTACTAACGTTGCAGGAAGGCTACTAACGTTACAGGAAGGCTACTAACGCTGCAGGAAGGCTACTAACGCTGCAGGATCATAACTAAGGGTAGAGACAAGGTAACCTCTTGCGTGGTGTTGACCAGAGGGCGCCAAGGACACAGTGACCGGGCCCTCACTCCTGTGTTGTCAAGGGCGAGGCTGCGGCCAGGCGGTCACCCTCCAGTGACTGGCCTTAACCTGACGGATGACCTGGCACCCCCACAGTGCCTCAGGTTCCCCAGGTGCCCCCCCAGGTGCCCCAGGTGCCCCAGGTGCCCCAGGTGCCCCAGGTGCCCCCCCAGGTGCCCCAGGTGCCCCAGGTGCCCCCCCAGGTGCCCCAGATGCCCCAGGTGCCCCCCCAGGTGCCCCCCCAGGTGCCCCAGGTGCCCCAAGTGACCCCCCAGGTGCCCCCCAGGTGCCCCAGGTGCCCCCCCAGGTGCCCCCCCCCCAGGTGCCCCAGGTGCCCCAGGTGCCCCAGGTGCCCCAGGTGACCCCCCAGGTGCCCCAGGTGCCCCAGGTGCCCCCCCAGGTGCCCCCCCAGGTGCCCCAGGTGCCCCACTTGGATGTGTATATAAAGTGTAGGTGACAGTTCATCAAATGGGAAACATAATGCCGTATGGGAAATTGTATTGAAATATATACATCGTCATTGGTGGGGAGGTATGTATACTTCTCATGTGTATACATCGTCATTGCTGGGGAGGTATGTATACTTCTCATGTGTATACATCGTCATTGCTGGGGAGGTATGTATACTTCTCATGTGTATACATCGTCATTGCTGGGGAGGTATGTATACTTCTCATGTGTATATACCTGGTGCTGGGGAGGTATGTATACTTCTCATGTGTATATACCTGGTGCTGGGGAGGTATGTATACTTCTCATGTGTATATACATGGTGCTGGGGAGGTATGTATACTTCTCATTTGTATACATCGTCATTGCTGGGGAGGTATGTATACTTCTCATGTGTATATACATGGTGCTGAGATGGTCGTGAAGAGTGTAAAGGTTCTCGTGTAGCCCGCTGTGGCAACTCATTCATTTTTACATCAGTATCGTGCATATCGTGAACATATCTCTCCTGAGTTTCTCCTTTTTTTCTCCCCTGGTGTTATAACGTTTACGTGTGTATGGTTATATGTGTGTTCTTATTCTTATTATTATTAACATCTTTATTGACAAAATTTAATTACAATTTTGCCTAATCTGAGGAATTCAGTTAAGTCTTATTAAAGTGAGGATAATGCTGGTATTCACTGTCACACAGGACAGAGGGTCATATACAAGACAATAAGTCTAAACTGTAGGCTGAAGCACATATATATATCATGGTTACAATCAATGTTTTTATGTATGAATATGTAAATACAACTTTCTATTGTGCACTGCCACACAAGGGCAGGGATGGGTTCATAAAAATGCAGCTTAAAAATTATATAAATAGAATTGTTCTTCATTCTTTAAAATGGACAAGCAAATTTTGGATAAATTGTAAGGATGTCGTCCAGAACACCTGAGTCAATGAAATAGTTACACAGTTGGTGGTACAAGAGGCCAGGAGGTCTAAAGTCTTTAACGGTTTCACATTCAACAATACAATATAGTGTTCTAGTGAATGCATTAAGTTCATTCCATTTTAACCACTACTCTCACCCTAAAAGAAAACTAAACATCTCTGTGACTGATCTGAGTGTCCAGCTTCCACCCATGTCCCCTCGTTCTCTTACTATTACGTGTGAACTTTTCATCTATTTCCACTTTGTCAATTGTCTTGAGTATTTTATACGATTCTATCATATCCCCTCTCTCCCTTCTTTTTTCTAGTGTTATAAGGTTCAATTCCTTCAGGCGTTCTTCATATCCCCATTTCTCGTAACTCTGGGACGAGCCTCGTCGCAAACTTCTGAACATTTTCCGGTTTCCTTATGTGTTTCTTCAGATGGGGACTCCATGATGGCGCGGCATACTCCAAGACTGGCCTCATGTAGGCAGTGTAAAGCGCCCTAAAAGCCTCCTC